TCAGCAGGACAATGACGATGACTGTCAAGCTTTGTTTCACATTTGCATTTTGTACTCCTCACCCATAAAATATTTACAAACATCAGTAGAGATCTCTTTCGAAACACCAGGAAAGTGTTTGCCACTTTTAGTGAACCACTAGTTTGGCGAGGGTGGGGGTATGAAAATTTCCTTTGTATTCATCAATATATTTAAGTCCCTTTTGGTTAAATTGAATGTACTGACAATATTGTTCTACACACCAAAGGGCTTAGGATTGTTCACTATTCACCAAGGGAGACCTTGAATGCATCAAGGCACATCCTTTCAAGTATTATCGCAGGCTGGTTGGACTGTTTCCTTCCAGATGGGAAAACAAAATAAATGAGGAACTAACACTATTTTATAGCTTTTTTCTTTCATGTTAACAAGGGCTCAATGATTTTTTTTGTTTCAGTATGTTTTTAAAGAGAAAGATAAATACTGTAGAGAAGAATGCTCTGGAAGGAAGAGATAGGCCAGAATACTTCATCCAGCCTGACTGCATATGCTGGAGTTTCCTTCATTGTCCTGATTTGAATAAGACATGAAATAATTGCTTCTGGTAGGGGAGAAAGGGAGACAAGTGCAAACAAGACTGGTGTATGGCATGTCAGAATGGCTGAAAAGAGTTTTGAACCTTTCTTGCGACGGCACTGAGCCCACCTAAATCCCTAAGTTGCTATGGTGTGTCACACAAGGCACAATCAAGACGGAGCTGAGATTTTCGTAGTTCTAAGTGGACTTGTACTGAAGTCCTTGTTCAACCTCATTCAGTGTTACTCATCCGTGTTATTATAATCAAACAAAATCATCCAATCTGGTCATTTTCAAAGATTTTCAACCAGAAATCACTTCATAAGTCATTTCTTGAAAGTATTCTCTTTTTTCCCCCTTGCCACAGTTCATAATGGTAAAGAACTACCTGTAATAGAAACTGCCCTCATTTCTTTAAGTTGTTCATCTTCTGAGCATGAAACCGGCACCTTGGAAATTGATTACAACTTAAAAGGAAACAGCAAATGAGCATTAATCGTGAGATAGCGAACCTTAAAATGATCTCCAGGCATGAACTCAGTTTACTCCTCACCACAGGAAGATTGTTTTCTAATTAACACACACAATTACTAAAGCCACATCCTTCACAGAATTTGACTGCAAGTCATTTCTTTCTTTTCTCCCCATTTCCATGACACAGTTCAAAACCGATGACCAGGAACCCCATAGATGGTAGGCTGTAGAAACAAAAGCTATGCAAATACCACATGCCCAAGGGCTTTTAAATCCTTTTATATCAAGGAGCCGGGCATATCCTCTCAACTAGGGTAGAATATATTGAGTCATCTTCTTCTTGGAAAGTAACATTCAAGTTGTAACATTGTGCACCCATGAAGAGCCTTGCTGAATTTTTTTAAGGCTGTTATAAAATAAAATATTACAGCAGTCTAGTTTAAAGATCGTAGAAATAGAGACTGTAACTTATCACAGCTCTGGCTATGTTTCAAAATACATGGCATGATTGAGCCCAAGCCATCTGTCCAAT